CAGATGTCCCCCCCCCCCCCCCCCCCCGCCTCTTTGAAGGGCTTATCACACCCATCCCCCCATAAAGCCTCTGTCAGTCTCTGGGGCGGCCACCAGACTCTCTTCCTGCCCCATCTACCCCTCCCGGGAGAAACTCCCCCTCTGGGCATCTCCCGGCCTTGTGTGTCCTAGGCAGGCTCCGGCAGATTTTAGAGGAGCCCGCGGGCCAAGGGTCGCCCGGAGCTTTTACCCTCGCACCGGGGAGATGTTTGACTCTCCAGCCCTGCGCCGGCAGCGGTTCTTCCCCCGGATGTTCATCTCTGCTGGGTCACAGCCAAATGCAAATCACTGACCCAGCGGAGTCTCCTTGGTCTCCTGTAGGGCCCAGTCCCCTGCACCCTCCGACCTGCCTTCCCCGAACACTGTGACGTAGTGGGGGTACTTGCTGGGCTGTGGTGACCTCTGCTGTCTGGAGCAAGACCCAGCAGGGAAAACCTCATTATGCAAAGGTGACTCCATACTGGTTGAACCAGCCAACCCCCCATGGGGAGAAACAAAGGAAGGTGGATGCTTCCCTGGCTGGGGGCAGGGCTTGGAGAGGGAGTTAGTTCCTGGCTGGAAAGCAGGGGAGAAGGAACTGGGGAGGGGGTTGGGATCCCCCCATCTCAAGGGGGGCACTGAGGCCTCAGCCCCCAGTTCCTGTAACTAGATTACATCTGTGCTGTGCTGTATCGTGGAGAAGCAATAAACCACCTGTATTCTGCTGGCTGGTGAAATCTGTTCCGGGGGTGCAGGAGATGGGGGAACCCCAACGCGCCGTCACACTGGTGTCAGGGGTGGGATACACTGCACCCCGTGGATGGAGCTTCCAGCGGCGAGCGACAAGGCGCCGTAAAAGCAAGAGCCCTGGAGCCGTGTCTCTCTGGTGTAATGGGGAGACCTGTCCCCGAGGGGACGTCGCCACGTGCTGAGCGTTCACCCCCTGGCGCCCCTTATACCTGGCCGGGGGAACCCGCATGCAAATCTCTGCTCGGCGGTTCTTGTTGAATACCAGCCCCTGATTCTAGGAACCTCTGTCTCTGTTCAGACACAGACCTGCCCGGCCCTGCCCGATCCGGAGTTTCCCTCAGTGCCTGGGAACGAGAATGGAACCTCTGCTGCTTTTCCTTTGCCTGCTCGCCGCTCCCGGCTGTGAGTGTCTGTGTGACACGTCGGGGAATTAGGGAGCCGCACACACATTCAGCGCCTAATTCCTTCCTGGATTTGTTTCCTTTTCCCAGGTGTCCTCGCTCAGGTGCAGCTGGTCCAGTCGGGCACGGGAGCGGTGAAGCCCGGAGAGACCCTCACGCTGAGCTGCGCTGTCTCCGGATTCTCCATCACTACTCAGCATTACAGCTGGAGCTGGATTCGGCAGCCCCCGGGGAAAGGGCTGGAGTGGGTTGGGTCTGTGTACCCATATAACAGCGGGGAAGACAGGCTACGCTCCGTCTTTCCAAAGCCGAGTCACCATCTCTGGGGACACCGCCAAGAACCAGGTCTCGCTGCAGCTCCGCGCACTGTCAGCTGCAGACACCGCCACCTATTACTGTGCCCGCTACACAGTGACACGGAGCAACGCAGGGCCTGACACAAAAAGAGGAAGAGGTTTCTAGCTCGCACCGGGAGGCTCCAGTGATAGGTGGGTCCCTCCAGAGAAAGAGACACAGACGCATTGAATTAACTACGAACAAAACACCCGCACGCACATCGGTGGCTTTAAGAAAATCCCAGGCAAAATTTATTGACACGCCCCCCCTTCAGCTGCCACAGAAGTGTCAAGCTCACTGAGAGAACAGAGGCATTTCCTGCCTTCGAATGGCTGTCGGGCGGGGAATTGAGAGCTACAAACAATCGCTCGGGGATTGTTCCTGTGTCTGTCGCAGGAGCGTTATGGGCACTGGGAAGGTCACTCTGCCTTCAGAAGAGAGCGAAGGGAAAATTTTCCAGTGTTCATACACATGGTGCACATACACCTGATTGGAATGGACGTGAGCAACACATCTTGAACACCAGTTAGGAGCTTCACAGACACACACAGAGCAAGTCCAATTCCCCCCAATAGGGGGCAGCGGCCCTTCACAGAAACACACAGAGCAAGTCCCATTCCCCCCAGTAGGGGGCAGCGGCCCTTCACAGACACACACAGAGCAAGTCCAATTCCCCCCAATAGGGGGCAGCGGCCCTTCACAGAAACACACAGAGCAAGTCCCATTCCCCCCAGTAGGGGGCAGCGGCCCTTCACAGACACACACGGAGCAAGTCCCATTCTCTCCAACAGGGGGTAGCGGCCCTTCACAGACACACACAGAGCATCTCCCATACTCCCCAGTAGGGGACAGCGGCCCTTCACAGACACACACAGAGCAAATCCCATTTTTTCTGGTAACTGGAGCACGTGCCCCTCCCCCAGCAGGCCCAGCCGGCTTTGTTCTCCCAGCGCCACAAGTCGCCCTGCCCAGCTCTCTGCCTTGCACTGAGGCTGCTTCTCACTCTCCGGGGCCGGGAACCCGCCTCTGGCTCCCCCCCGCCGCCGG